GGGACACGGGCACAGGGTGGCACAAGGGTGAGGAGGAGGTGGGCACCAGGGTGGGGGCAGAGCTGTCACCAGGGAGGGCATCGGGGGCCATTATAGTCTATGGGGTGGGCATGAGGGTGCCATGAAGGTGAGGATGAGCAGGAGGGCACAAGGAGGGCACCAGGGTGAGCATGAGGATGGCACGAGGTTGGGCACAAGAGTGGCATGGGGTGAATGCAAGGAGGGCACCAGAGTGGGCATGAGGAAGACACAAGGTTGTGCACAAGAAGGGCATGAGGTTGATCATGAGGGAAGGCACAAAGCTGTGTATGAAGGTGGGCACAAGGGGGTCACGAGGAGGGAGAAAGGTTGTGCACAAGAAGGGCAAGAAGTTGGAAATGAGGGGGGCACAAGGATGCCATTAGGGAGGGTCCAGGTCCGTGTATGAGGGCGCGTGACAGTGGGCACAAGGGTGGCACCAGGGGCGTGCAGGTCCCTGCCCATGGTTGCTCCTTGACAATGTCACCTTCGTGACAGCGGGGGGGACATCGCTGGGCCCGGAGGAGCCCGCGGGGCTGCGACGCAAGCGAGCGGTTCTCGCCGTCCTGCTCCACTTCCTCGACACCTACAAGGGGCTGCTGCAGGAGGAGGAGAGCGCCGGCAGGGTGGTCAAGGTGGGTGGGCGCCGGGACCCCCCTGCCACCGCCCGGATCCCCCTGCGTCCCCCTGAGCCCCTCTCGCTGCCCCCAGGAGCTCTACCTGCTCATCATGAAGGACACGTCCCTCTACCACGAGCTGGAGGATGAGGTCCTCAGGCTGCACCAGCTCGTGGAGTCTGTGGAGCTGAAGTGAGAGGGGAAGCGGCGGGGGGGAGTGTGGATGCTGGGGGTCCCCATGGGTGTAGGGGGTCCCTGTGGGTGCCGGAAAGTCCCCGTGGTTACAGGGCACTGCAATGGGTGCAGGGGGGTCCCCATGGGTGCTGGGGGTCCCCATGGGTGCTGGGAGGGCTGCAAGGGGTGCAGGGGGTCCCTGTGGGTGCCGGAAAGTCCCCATAGTTACAGGGGACTGCAATGGGTGCAGGAGGGTCCCTATGGGTGCAGGAGGTCCCCATGGATGAAGTGGGTCCCCATGGGTGCAGAGGAGGTGCAGTGGGTCCCCGGGGGGAAGGACATGGAGATGCCTGAGCGTTAGTTGGGGGAACATCATCGCTAGCCCCTCGGTACCAAGCGGGGATCCTGGAGGGCCCTCCCTGCCCATCCATGGGGCACCCCACGGCAGGGCCACGCAGGGGGGCCAGGCCGGACCCCCTCAACACCCATGGGGGGGTCCCTGACCCGTGGCGGTGCCGCAGGGCGGCCGAGGAGACG